ATCATTCTCTGACATTTTGAATTACTTCCATGCATGGCTTCAATTTTTAACGCTTCCTCGTTCAATATCACCTTTGTAAAAGTATTATCATCTCCATTTCTCCTCCGGCAGTAAGTATGGCTTCAATGGTTAACCCTTCCTCGTTCAATATCTCCTTTGGCACGGTATATTCTCATCTCTATTTCTCCTCTGGCAGTAAGCTATAACTGAGACAACAGCTTGCGTATAAAATTTGCTTAAAGTAAACCAAAGAAATACCTTTTCTTGATAAACAACCCGTTACATTTAGTGCGATGTGTTTATTGCACATTCTGTAAGCTAGGAGGAATAATAGTTAGGATAAAGAAAGCTCAGTAAAGCAAAAAAATGGAAAAATATTCTCAAAATTTTTAAAGAAACCTTGACCAGCTGTCATGCATTTAATGTGATGTAGTGGTTGCTCATTGTGGCCGCCATATAGTACTTCAACAGTGATTGGACTGATTTTCAGCATTTATTAGTGTTTCAGAATTATTTAGTTTAATTTAACATATTTAAATTTAAATTTAAATTATATATATTTTAATTTAACACTTATCATCAATAAATATCCCACTACTTTTCCCCACATTTGTTCACTATTTCTCAAGGTCCACTGTTCATTTTATTTTTTAATATAAATACCTACCGAAGGCAAAAAAAAAAAATTGTGAATATCTATCTAAAGAAAAAAAATTGGGCTCAAAAGGGCGATTCTGATAACCGTATCAAAAGTTATGGTTGAAATGCTAAAAAAAAAACCCAAGTTGCACGAAATTATGACTCTGGGGACCGAATTGTTCAAGTGTCAAAAGTTTAAGAACCAAGGGTTGCAATTTTTGAAGGATGAAATTGATAGAAAAGTTAACATATAAGGACATCGACAAAAAATTGTTCAACAGGCAAAAAATTCGAACAGAAGTAGGAAAATAACTTAAATAAGCGAGTTGTAAGGGAAAATGACTTAAATTGACGATTTGGAAGGGAAAACGATGGATTTTGGCATCGAAAATGGCTCCCACCCAGCAGATCCTGGTGGCCACGACATGTGCGCCGAAAAGACGTTTCCGAATTGGGGTTATGAGCGCTATTCTGATAACCGTAGCAAAAGTTATGGTCGAAATAGTAAAAAAGAAATGAAAATGAAAAAAAAAAAAACAAAATCACTTCAAGGCTCTCCACGTACGGAGCTTCAAACATCCGCACACGGAGGTCTCCGTGTGCGGAGGTTTCAAGATTCGTACAAAGAGCACGCGAAGCTGTATACCTCCGCACACGGAAGTTTCAAGCTCCACACACGGAGCTTCAAGCTCCGTGCGAGCGGAGCGCAGAGTTTCAAACATCCGTGTGTGCGGAGGATATTGAATTTCCTCAAGCTCGGAGAGCCTTGAAGCGATTATGTTTTTTTTTTTCATTTTCATTTCTTTTTTACTATTTCGACCATAACTTTGGCTACGGTTATCAGAATAGCGTTCATGACCCCAATTCGGAAACGTCTTTTCGGCGCGCACATCGTGGCCACCAAACTCCACTGGGTGGGAGCCGTTTTTCATGCCACAATCCATCATTTTCCCTTCCAAATCGTCAATTTAAGTCATTTTCCCTTACAACTCGCTGATTCAAGTTATTTTCCTACATCTGTTCAAATTTTTTGCACGTTGAACAATTTTTAGTTTTTTGTTTTCTTTTTTTCACTTCACAGATTTTTTTTTTCATATTTTGGGTTGAAATGTGGGAGCATGATATTTTTAAAAAAATACGTTAACCATCCTTTATACATTTTCTCCTCATGTTTGCAGTCACATTCATCTAGATTATCATCATCAAACAAACATTCTAATTCAAAATTTTACTTGGTAAGATCGTTACTTGAAAAAGAGATGGTCTATTCAACTACATATATTTTGTGGACAAATATCAGAGAAATGTGGACAAATACATATTAAGATGAGTTGCGAGTTCGCAAAATTAGCACGTAGCATCTAAATTACCCCTTCAGCAGTAAGCTTCAAAATATTTTCAAAAAGTTTCAATTGTTTAGCAAGCCTTTCAAGGCATCTAAATCACCCCTTCAGCAGTAAGCTTCAAAATATTTTCAAAAAGTTTCAATTGTTTAGCAAGTCTTTCAAGGCATCTAAATCACCACTTCAGCAGTAAGTTTCAAAATATTTTCAAAAAGTTCCAATTGTTTAGCAAGCCTTTCAAGGCTTCTCCTGCTTTATAATCCTTCGGCTCTTGTTGCTTGACAATTGCGTGGATGAGTATATGTCCAACGTTCTCTTAGCTTTGTTACTGGGTTTGAGCTCGTCCAAGGAAAGTGGCTTCTGATGCCTCTTTGTCGGCATGTTAACCTCATTATCAGATGTAGAATCCTATTGTAATACAGAAAATGAGTCAAAAGAAAAACCAACAATTAGTTAAAATTAATATAACATAATCTGTAAAAGGATTCACAAATGTAAGACATTTAGCTCCTCGTTGGAATTCTTGTTAGACTTCAAAAACATATCAGAATCCTACAATATGAGAATTATATTGAGTGAACTACATCAATATATTATGTTACGAAAATAAACAAAAGCTATGTAGTTGAGCTAAATAAACCATGTAATTAATTTAACTAACATGGCTTTCTACGTTCGGAAATATAACATACTTGGATATTGGAAGAATCATCAACGGTTAACCTCATCACAGTGAATATATCATTGCGCTGCTCGATGTTTTGTTGCCTAACTTGAACTTTAAATAGTATTTTCCTGTCAACCAATGCTTCTATATCGTTTGGGTAAGACAAATCTTCCGAACTCTACTAGTAGGTGAAATCTCTCTCAGGTCACATGTAATTACATTTAGAGCTTGTTTGGGAGAGATTTTTGGGGGAAGAATTGATTTTGAATAGTGATATGATGGAAAATGTGTGGTTGAAAAAGAAGAAAAAATTATTGATGTGATGAAAAATATTATTTTATTGAAGAATGTGTGGTTGAAAATGAGAATTGATTTACTATAGAAAAATCTAATCCCTCCCACATAGGGCCTTAATTATAAAATAATTATCGTAGTCATAGTAAATATACTACAACTTACCTGAACCATATCTTTATTTAGAGTAGCAGCAGTCTTCTCTACAGTTGTAAGCATTCACGATCCCACATCAGAAAAGATGCACTACCCGTTCCATCTATTACCCTCAATTGAACCTTAAACCTTAAATGGAAAAAAAGATTTGTCAACTACATTTTCTACAATGATTATTCACCTAAGAAGAAAGTAACGATTATTCACCTAAGAATTCCATCAGCGCTGAAATTATCACACTTCTCACAATGGAATCTGGTCTTTATAGGGTTAACATTTTTCAGGTACTTCTTATACGATAGGTAACACCAATTCCGATCATTCTCAACAGCCACAATAGTAACATAAATCCAACAATGACCAACCTAATACATTTGAAAAAATATTTTCCACAATATAATATAATCCTTAGCAAAAATCATTGTATTATATATCATATTATATATCATATACTTGTCTTCAAATATTACCTCAGACGAATCCAGTAGTTGATCAATACTCTTGACATCGCAACCTCCACCTGCTAAGTCATCGACGCATCATAAACAGAACTCGAGGATATCTAACTTATCCTCTGGGTCAGACTCTCGTTTCTAGTAAACAATCTTGAATAGATTTTCAATGCTATATTAACTAATGTACAGTTAAAATAAACAAAAATATATTGTCTATCCACGGTATACGATAACATACTTATCTCGGAATGTCTGAACTTCCGCAAGCTGGGCGTTGACACATAATTTCGTCACATGACATGTGTTACATATCTTCACCTTACCTACAACAATATATCAGAAATATTAATAATCATCATGCAAAATGAATCCAACTCACAGTTAAGTAATAGTGTAAAAAAATAGACCTCTAAACTTTTTAGCTCGACACGTCTGAAGTAATAATATGGCTGGTTCTGGATTTTTAGTATCCAGGACGTTACTAAGCTCATCAGACTGCTCACTCCAGATGGTGCAGGACAACCGATTATTCCTATAGCATAAGAAGCAGTAAGTGTTAATCGTCGTACTTAGATAACAACTATACGCTGCCAATGAAGGACATACTCAATATCTTGTAGTAAAATATCAATCATTCTTGTACTTCTCCCAGAGATTTCCTTTGAGTGGACTGTATTGATTCTAACTACTTCTCCAATTACATCTAAAAATAGAAATATTGATTTATTCTCCGTTAACGATTAACATAAAAAATCGTGAATCCATTTATCTTTAAACTGGAACTCCAAAAAATATGACATGACATATTAAAATTAAACATCACCAATCAACTTGTTTTCATCTATTTTAGAAGCTGACAACAGATGACCAAACGGAATAAAATTATAAATATGGTATGGAAAGCTACTATCTTCAACTTCTTTGACGTATGTCTTCATCATGAAATTCAGCTTGTATCTGTGACTCGAAGCTTTGTACTTTGAATTGTTGTAACCAATAACGAAGTCACGCATAACATATAAGACTCCTTCACGGATGATGGGCTTGAATGTCTTGATCAAGTTGCGTTTAACCGATGCATGAATTCTAGTGCCCTAGTATTACACATCCCACATGGAATTCATTATGAATAATTTACATAACTTAGGATTAAGTTGAAAGCTCTGTTAATGACAATGGATTTAAAAAGTACCATCCAATATTTAAAAATCACACATAACAAAATCACAACAGATTTGCTTCCACATCAAGAATAAATTGCAGTTCATATACTCACATCTCTGTCGATCAATACCATCTCCAAGCTGCAAATGTCGTCGGATTTTCCAAACGTAAGATTTTTCCAAAGTCGAACAACGCGATCACGGAATGCCCACTTGGTTTTGGTAGGAATGATGTCTGTGAGCATATCTATGATGGGAGCCATCTTACTGCACATAGAAATAAACAAAGCTAATTTTTCAAATCTTCCTGCATACGCTTTAACTTAGATTGCTAAAACAAAAAATGAATAACACGCCTAAAAAAAGAACAGGAGCGGTCGCTTACATGAGAGAAGAGCGTTGATTATGAACGAAAATATATGGGAAACAGTGAGAGTTGAAAATGCTGATATACAACACTTTTTGCGAGGACAAAATTGGATTCAAAATGTGTTTTGCTTTTTTCAATCGTGTCAATCAAAGTCGTGAATATCCTGCAAATCCTGCAAATATCCTGAAGATTAAATGTGGAAGAGGGTTGGTTGGATGGGATGGGATGGGAGGGGAGGGGAGGGGGTGGGGTGAAGTGGAGTGGGGAGTTGAAAAAATTGAGATGACAAAAGCTGTAAATATCCTGATTGAGAAAATAAAATTAATAAAAAAATTTGTCCTGAATTTCCTCAAACTCGTGAGTGTATCTAAGCTCCTTTAGTGTAGAGTGGCGGGAATACTGTTGCAGTGCAGTGGCGGGAAAAATGTTGCTGTTATCCTTCTTTAATATAGTATAAGATAAGATAAGATAAGAGATTCTAATTATTGTAATCTATTATTTTATTTATATAATTCAAACGATATTTCTAACTTCCTTTTGTATTTTTCATAACATTTATAACTTTTTTTTAACTTATTCTCGAAATTTTACATATTCTAAAAAAATCTACTTTCTAAAAATATATCAAAATTAATGGAGCTTCTCCTGTCATTTGACTTTAATCGATCGATTACCAAATAGCAAATCCATGCTCTCGTTTGATATTTATTATTTTTAAAATTTATTTTTCTTTTTCTTATTTTCAATTACACATTATTCAATAAAATAATATTATACACAAATTCAAAATTTTTCCTTATTTTTTAACCACACATTTTTCATCAAATCATTATTCAAAAATACATTTTTTACCAAAAAATAAAATAAAATAAAAATGAAATGGGGGTGAAACATGCTCTATATTTACAACGAGCTTGCAATGAAACCCTCGTCTTTCTATCCACTACTCATCGAAGCACTAAAAAGGAGGAAAAATGGCAGTTTCGGAGGAAGAATCTTCATCATCATCGACACCAGGGGCAACAAACAATTACAGTAGTAGCAAATCACGATCATCCTCCAACAGTAACTCTGACGCTTTTTATTTGGCCAAAACAGTACTCACAAGCAGCGTCGTTCTTCAAGTCGTCCGCGGCAACTTCCGGTCCTCTTCCTCCGACGATGTCATTTTCGGCAAGGTCTTCTCTACGTTCATTCTCCCATTTTCATTTTAATTGGTTGCCCAGTTTACGCATCACGTTAAAAAAATTCGCTATTTGGATCGTGGGCAGTTTAAGATATTAGAAACTTAATTCCTGTGAACTGTGCTCCTAACTGCTGCCGATGATTCAAGTGTATAAGTATGTGGATATCCATCCGCATGTGGTATTAGAGATGAAAAAATTAATGAACCAGTGTGGGTTTTCTTTAATCTGTGTTTTTTGGATTGAAGAAAATAATATAGGTTAATAATGTTGAAAGGGGAAGCTACATTTAACAGTAATCTGTTACTAATTGGACGTGGTGAGATAGAAGATTGTATTTAATTATGTCTGGCTTAGATTAATGCAACTCTTTGCTTGTGGACATGAGCACATTTTCTATTTCATTGCCATGTAAGATAGAAATCTGATGCTACTAAGAAACCTTGTTTCAGGAGACATCCATAGAGATGGTGATAATCGACAACGATGGGATTGTTCAATCTATTTCTGACCAACCTGTGTTTGGCACTATAAAAGATATTGCTGTTCTCCCATGGAACGAGAGGTTTCAAGCACAAAGTCCAAAGGTTTATTTTGTTATCTATTTTTACTAAATTCATACTTGGGAACTGTACATGATCAGGGATTACGTGCTCTTATTATTTTGTAGTTGCTGGGGAAGGATATATTGGTAGTCCTTTCTGATTCAGGGAAGCTATCATTTCTCTCCTTTTGCAACGAAATGCACAGGTTTTCTTTAGTAATAAGTGTCACTTTCTTTTTTATTTGCATTCAAAGAAAGATTTTTTGATTTATTTTTCTTGCTGGTTTGAGTTTATTTCAGCCTGGATACTTGAGTGAGCAGTGGCTTTGTTTCTTTAGGTTTTTCCCATTGACCCACATTCAACTTTCCTCTCCTGGAAACTCAAGATATCATCTTGGAAGGATGTTAGCTGTTGATTCCAGGCGAGTTGCTTGCTTACTAAAATCTCAATATATCAGTTTTTCTTCTCTGTAATAAATGTCACTCTGCTATCACTCAGAGCTCCTAGAATTGTTATTCATGGAGGTTCTTTATTGCTTTGTTCTCTATAGTGGCTGTTATGTTGCTGCTAGTGCATATGAAGACAGGTTGGCTATTTTCTCGATCTCAATGTCTGCTGGTGGCGATATCATTGATAAGGTTAAATTTGTTCATGCCCTGTGTTTCTGGGGTTTTTTATTTTTGCAATCCTTTAAAAGCTCAACATTGTTGATTGGATATGACAATGAACTTTCTGATAAGTCCTTTACATGTGTTGGTTACAGAGAATCTTTTGTCCTCCTGAAAATGAAGGCAGCTTGACAAGTGCTAGTGGTTTTGCTAATATTTCTGGTACTATATGGAGCATGTGCTTCATCTCAAAAGATTACCATCAATTAAGTGAAGAGCAAAACCCTGTGTTAGCCATTCTTCTGAATAGGTGTGATAACTATCTGCATTGAGAATGTCAAAACATTTTTGTATTGTCCATGTTATTATCTTGTTCTCTTATTGTTTGGTTGTCATTTTTGTATTGTCCATGTTATAATCTTGTTCTCTTATTGTTTGGTTGTGTTCAACATAATTTTCATCTTCTTTACAAGTTCATTTGATATCCTTAAAGGCAAAGTTCTTGTTCTGCAGGAGGGGATCCTTTTACCGGAATGAGCTTTTGTTATTGGAATGGAATATTGTCAAACAAGCCGTCCATGTAATATATCAGTTTGCTGAAGCTGGACCCCTAGCACATCATATAGTTGAAGTCCCTAATTCTCATGGATGTGCCTTCCTGTTCAGGGCTGGCGATGCTCTCTTAATGGATTTTAGGGATGTTCATAACCCTTGTTGTGTCTACAGAATAAGCTTAAATTTTACACCTCCTTTAGCGGAGGAACAGAGTTTTTTTGAACACACTATTAGAATACCTGATATTATGGATGAAGAAGGAATCTATAGTGTTGCTGCCTCTGCCTTGTTGGAGCTTAGTGACATGAATAAAAATGATGATCCCATGAATGTTGATGATTATAGCACAAAACCAGGTTCCAATTATGTCTGCTCGTGGAGTTGGGAACCTGGTAACTTAACTAACCCTAGGATGATTTTCAGTGCAGATACTGGAGAACTCTATATGATTCAAGTTTTTTTTGAGTCTGATGGCCCTAGAGTAAATCTATCTGATTGTCTTTACAAAGGCCCACCATCTAAAGCCCTGTTATGGGTTGAGGGTGGGTTTTTGGCTGCAATTGTTGACATGGCTGATGGAATGGTCTTAAAATTGGAAGATGGATTACTACAGTACAGAAGTCCGATTCAAAGCGTTGCACCAATCTTGGATATGTCAGTTGTTGATCACCCTGATGAAAAACATGATCAAATGTTTGCCTGCTCTGGGATGGCACCCGAGGGGACCTTACGAGTCATTCGGAGTGGTATCAGTGTGGAGAAGTTATTGAAAACTAGTTCTATTTATCATTGTGTAACTGGTACTTGGACAGTTAAAATGAAAGTTTCTGATCCTTATCATTCTTTTCTTGTGCTATCATTTGTTGAAGAGTCGAGAGTACTTTCCGTCGGTCTAAGCTTCACTGATGTGACTGATTCAGTTGGTTTTCAGCCCGATGTCTGTACTTTGGCATGTGGCCTCGTGGCTGATGGTGTGATGGTCCAGATTCACCAATGTGGAATTAGACTTTGTGTGCCTGTTAGAGCTGTTTATCCCGAAGGTGTTCCTTTGTCATCTCCAGTATGCACGTCATGGTTCCCTGATAATATGACTATAAGTCTTGGAGCGGTTGGATGCAATTTGATTGTCGTAGCGACTTCCAGTCCATACTTATTATTCATTCTTGGTGTTAGATCTTTATCGGCTTATCATCATGAAGTATATCAGATGCAGTGTGTAAGATTGCAGAATGAGTTGTCTTGTATTTCCATACCTCAAAAATGCCTGAAGCACTCTCCGATGAATTATGCTAATAACGCCATACCAGCTGAAATTAACGTCGATAATATATTCGTTATTGGTACCCATAAGCCTTCAGTAGAAGTCGTATCCTTCACACCTGATAAGGGCCTGAAAGTTCTTGCTACGGGGATCATTTCATTAACCAACAGTGTGGGAACTGCCATTAGTGGCTGTGTTCCTCAAGATGTAAGGCTTGTCTTAGTTGATCGGCTGTATGTTCTTTCTGGATTAAGGAATGGGATGCTACTTAGGTTTGAGTGGCCTGTTGACTCTGCAGTTTCCTCTACAGAGTTACCCAGTCATCAAAAGTTTGTTGGTTCCTGCTTGGTAAATTCCCACACCTCATTGAAACCCATATATCCAAACTATAGAGTCCCACTAATTTTTACGTCCAATTCATCTGGGACGGCTAAGGGGGACTTTCCAGTTAGTCTTGAGCTTATTGCAGTGCGACGTATTGGTATCACACCTGTTTTCTTGGTTCCATTGAGTGATTCCCTTGATGCTGATATGATTGCTCTCAGTGATAGACCTTGGTTATTGCAGACTGCTAGGCACAGTCTATCCTATACATCAATTTCCTTTCAACCTTCCACTCATCTCACTCCTGTGTCCTCAATTGAATGCCCCAGAGGAGTTCTATTTGTTGCAGAGAACAGTCTTCATTTGGTAATAACAATTTTTCTTATGCAATTAGTGCTACTGAATACTTTTGTCTC